TGTAGCCTGGTGAAATCTTTTCGGGATTCCACCTTAAGACCTCCCCCTAAGAAGGCACCTGGACCTCTTGTAGTAGCAGGACAGACTCACTATGAAGTGAAGCATATTCTTGATTCTAGGTTTTTTAAAGGAAAATTGCAGTACTTAGTGCAATGGAAGAGGTATCCTTTGTCTGAAGCCACCTGGGTGAAATCTAGCGATGTAAAAGCTGACAGGCTCATTAATAGGTTCTATAAGAAACATCCTAACAAACCAAGAGGCAACCCCTAACCTATGATTTTGTTTGCATTACAGGATTTGTCCTTTTTATAAGGGGCCAGATGTCAATGCTGCTAACATCAGATGTTCTTGCTTTGACAACAGATGAAAATGCAGCCATTTTCTCTATGCTTTTAGAATTAGTTGATGCTGGGAGGGGGGAATAGGGATGAGAGTCTAGCTTGTCATAACAATAATAACTCGGCTGTGGGAACCCAAGGACATTGGGCCCAGAGCTGATAGCGTTTTGGTGGGCTGGAAAGCTGGAGAGCTGGGGAGGAAGCCCGCGCTTCAAGCTAATTGGGGAATATGATTTATGACTGTTTATTGGAGGTGGGAATTGTACTTTGTCACTTTGTATCCAGGAGAGGGGAATTTAGTTTTTGGGTTCAACTATGTAGTGCCGATACTTTGTTTCTCGAATAAAAGATTCTTTAAGGAAAACAATGCCTCAAAGTTCTTTTGAAGGGTTTCATCTGTCGGAACCATGACAGGTGGCTTTCATGGAAATGGAAAAAAATTTTTATATGAGGCAGGTTATGTTTTTAGAACATATTTTAATAAAAATTAGAGTCCATCTCTTTTTTAACAGGTGTATTAAAATATGGTATCTAAATATTTCACCTAGAGTTAACAAATGCAATTATTTCTTCATTTATTAAGATATCCTCTGGATCTGATTAAGGATAGCTTTTATCTCTGCTCAGAGTTAACTTTGTTTTAAGATCATTGCCCTCTTTTATTAGAGAATCAAAGGATATTTTGCGAATGAAAGTAGGTAAAACACCAGTTATCACAAGGCAAACATGCTATTTTAAGTCTTATTGGTAATTAGTGTTTTTTGCCTAAATCTACATTCATACAACAGTTTGGAAAGTTATTTGGTTTAGAAGAGAAATGAGGTTTGATTATGTTAATATGACCTATAAAATGAAAGCTTGAAATTTATCAGTTTGTGAAGAACTCTGATATATCAAGAGTGGAATGTAACGGTAATTCTATCTAGGCTTCTGGTTTTGTGCAGTAGCGCAAGTAGCTGAGGGATCGCAGGGCTCCGTATCCTATGGCCAATTTCTTTCTGTTTGGGCCCAAATTCGCCCCGGAGAGGCGACAGAGAAGGAGGGGTGTCCTGCCAATTGTAGAGAGACAGCAGTCAATCTGGTTGCCTGGAGAAAGCCCTCCAGAAACCAGATGAAGAAAGGCTAGCTTCACTTCAGAGTCTAGCCCAAGCTACAAGCAGCCGAAGCCAAAAAACACTAATTTAAGCTTGATCGTAAACAACGCATTTGGAACTTGGTAAGAAATATTGATTCTCTCTCTTCTATTTGATAATTGATTTCCTGGGGGGGAAAACCCAAGCAGCAAAAATCCTCTAAAAGTGACAGGAGGGGGACTTTTGCTCCACCTTCCCACAGATGGAAGCGGTGAATTAAACTTTTATGGGAGACAGAAATATACTGAAATTAAATGAATATAAGATTTAAATCTGGATAAGTGTGAAATAGGTGGAATTAGTTAAGATTTTCTTGGCAAAAAATTATTGATGAAAACAGAAAAAAGCAGTTGTCTGTTTTGAAAACTGAAAAATGAGCTGGTGCTGACATCTAGTGGTGGATGAAAATATAAAATTATAGTTGCTCTAATACAGGAACTGGCAGAAATCCCAGGAAAAGATAACTTGTTTTTTGTGACCTTCAGTGCTTTAAACAAATAGAGAACAGCTGTAACAAAGAAAAGAAAACATTTTGGGCTATCTACAAAGTGAGAACCATAAAACCTAGAGAAAAAAATTGACCTTCCTGGATTATAAATACCTATTGAACTGTGACTCTAAAGCTGTTTGCAGAGAAAGGAAAACTTTGATTTTTGGCTATCATGGAACATCAGAGATCTGCAGAAAGAACATATCAAGAAAAAACTAATACTTTCCAGGAGGAAATGTATGCCATGTTGCAACTAATACAAATGACAATGACTGTAAGGACCCGCTTCAAAACCTCTTCCCAAGAAAGCAGGACTCTTGGAACGAAGTCATCCCAAAAGGAACTTTTATTGGAAGAAGTTGACAGCAGGCATAGAAGGCAAGATCTGATGGGTTCCCATGTGAATCAATAGGTTAAAAGAGCAAAAAGCAAACTCCACCCCAATAGTTCATCGGGCCAGTTCAAACGGGCCAATCCCCAGGTGTTGAATCCACTGTGGGAATGAGGCTGATAAGACGCTGTTACCAAGGCTGTGAAACCATTTGTTAGGTCTTTGCACCTTCCTTTCTGCAGCTATGGCTAAAAAGAATAGAAAAATTTTGGACATAAATGTATTCTAGCTTAAGAGGGACATGTTGAATAGAACAGAACAGAACAGAATAAAATAGAATCTGGAAGGGACCTTGGAGGTCTTCTTGTCCAGCCCCCTGCTCAAGCAGGAGAACCTATACTGTCTCAGACAGGTAAATGTCTAGTCTCTTCTTAAAAATCTCCAGCAATGACGTGCCCACGGTTTCTGGGGGGTAAGCTGTTTCACTGGTTAATTGTCCTCATTGTTCGGAAGTTTCTCCTTAATTCCAGATTGCTTCTCTCTTTGGTCAGTTTCCAACCATTGTTTCTTGTCCTCCCTTCTGGTGCTTTGGAGAATAATTTGACCCCCTCTGCCTTGTGGCAGCCTCTCAAATACTGGAATACTGCTATCATGTCTCCCCTATTTCTTCTTTTCGCCAAACCCAAATCGCGTAGCCGTTCTTCGTATGTTTTATTCTCCAAGCCTTTGATCATATTAGTTGCTCTTCTCTGAATTTTTTTTAAACTCTCAACATCTTTTTTGTGATAAGATGACCAAAATTGGCTGCAGTATTCCAGGTATGGTCTTACTAGGGTTTTAGAAAGCGGTAATAATACTTTGCGTGAACTTGATTCTATGCCTCTGTTTATACAACCCAGGATTGTATTAGCTTTTTTGGTTGCTGCTGCACACTGCTGGCTCATAGTCAAGTGATTGTCCACTAGGACTTCAAAGTCCCTCGCACAGTTGCTAAGCCAGGTCTTGCCCAATCTGTATTTGTACCTTTGGTTTTTCCTGCCTAACTGTAACACTTTGCTTTTCTCCACATTGAAACTCATTTTCTTGGATAGGGCCCATTGTTCAAGTTTGTCAAAATCTTTTTGAATCCTGAGTTTGTCTTCTGGGGTGTTGGCTACACTTGTCAGTTTGGTGGCATCTACAAATTTAATGAGTTCCCCTTCAATTCCCTCATCTAAGTCATTTATGGAGATATTGAAGAGTACTGGGCCTAAGACGGAATCTTGTGGTACCACTGCTTACTTCTCTCCATGTGGATGTAGTGCCACTGAGGACTACTCATTGAGTACGGTTTGTCAGCCAGCTACAGATCCACCTGGTGGTGATGTTTCTCAAGTAGTATACTATTTCCTTTTTTCCCCTTCTCTTTTTTTTTGTTTTAAGATATGAGAAATGAAAAATTGTTGGGATGGCTTGTATGAGGAAAAAGATTTAAATATTTAAGTGTAATTAACTCTGAGAAAATCTTAACAGGTAAAAATGTTTTGAAATTGCGGGGAAAACAAATTTAAATAAAAACTTTGAAAATAGGATCTATGACAAAGAAATACTAGAAAAATGTTTATATTCAATTCTTATCTATCAAAATACTAAGAAATGTGCTAATTTAGGGTTGATAAAATATTATTGGAAGAAGAGAAAATCAAGGAAAGCTACTATATGGATTATGGAACTATAGAAATTAATTGTTATTGATTGTTTTTAAATATAAACCCAGACAACACATTGTTTACCAAATATTAAGGTGATTATGTTAAAAATTAATAAAATATATTATTAAAAAAGAAATAATTCTAACTATAGAAAATAGAAGATAGAAATATGTTCTCTCTACTGACAGAAGTAATTCTATTGGCAGGAAATTATCACCTGGTCTGAAAAAAAAAGTGTTTTGTTTTACCCTTTAAACTGAGCTCTCTTAGGGAATACTATTATTATGACCAATTTTTTCTTCTTTGACACCTTAAGAGGCTGTCTTTCTTTGCCCAATAATGCTGCCAGCTGGCACAAAAGCTGGACCTCTAAGTTTTATTAAGGTCTTCAATCTTGACAAAAACTCCTGCCCAGTCAGGGGTGTCAAAGTCAATTTCATTGAGAGCTGCATCAGCATTGCGGTTGCCCTTGGGGGGCCGGGTGAGTGCGGCCTACTGGGTGGGCATGGATGGAGTGGGTGTGGCCTACTGGGTAGGGGTGGCCAGCTCTACATCATTCGCGTCAAGGGTGCCTGTGGGGGCCTGGGCAGGAGTGGGACAGATCTGAGGGTCTCTGGCAGAAGGGGGTGGGACCAGGGCAGAGCCCATATGTGAAGTAGGCGAGGGCCATTTGCTGGCCACTTCCAGGCGATGGTGCATTTCTTCATTCCTCATAAAGAGTGACACCTCCCCAGCATGCACCCAGGGGGTGGGGCTGACGCAGCAGGGGCTGGTTCCCCACTGTTTCTAGATGGCCTTGTAGAGCTAAGACTGAATGCATTTCAGCATAGATGGCCACCAAAAAATTGTGCATTGGCTCCCGGCCGGCCTGGGCCAGGGCTAAGGCAGCGGGGGCTGTTCCCTCACTGTTTCCAGGATGTCTTCGCGGGCCACATGAAACCACTTCGCGGGGCGCATCCGGCCCCCGGGCCTTGTGTTTTACATGTCTGCTCTAAGTGTTGGGATAGAATCACTTACTTGCTTTATTTTCTCAGGTATATTAGATACTGTGAATCCATAGAGCCGTGTGATTCCAGGGAACACATGTGCAAGGATACGCCTGTCTAACTGGAAAGCAATCTCTCCCACGATGCGTCCATTTTTCTTGTTGTTTTGAGCAATTTCTATATCTAGAGGAAAAAACAGAGATAGACTTGATCTTATCTAGGAGAGGCCAAAAACACTTCTATGAAATAGCCTGTCTGTAATGAATTTTTCCCTTGATTAGATTAAAAAAATACTTTAACTCATCATCACATGTTAATACCAAAGGAGGATAAGAGTGGAAATCACTTAACCCACAAATCCTGAGCACATCAGTAATCTTACTAGAGCCCAATGGCAACAGAATTCATTTATCTTGATTTATATAGCAGAATAAAACTCAATTTTTTATTAAATAAATAAAAACTGCAGGGATAATTTCTGATCTATGATCTGCTTGAAAAACTAGTTTATGTTTAATTTCACTGAAATGTACTATTTCTTATTTATTCATTTATTTGATTTATCCTGCCTTTATTTTTTGTGAGCTCTAGGTAGCATATATGACTAATGCTCCCACCATTAGTTTCTTCACAACAACAATCCTGTGAGGTGAGTTGGGCTGAGAGACAGTGACTAGTACAGTCACCCAGCTGCCTTTTATGCCTCAGGTGGGACTAGAATTCATGATCTACAGTTTCTATATCAGCACCTTAACCACTACACCAAGGGTCCCCAACCCCCGGTCCGTGGACCAGTATCAGACCACGGCATGCCAGCAACCGGGCCACACAAAAAAGCAAAGCCCCATCCGCAAGATGCAGGCAGCATACAAAACCACGCACCCTCCAGTCCGTGGAAAAACCTCTCTCCATGGAACCAATCCCTAGTGCCCAATTGGTGCACTACACCAATCTGGCTCCCATTAATAATACATTAACAATACATTATTAATGGTACAAGGAAACAACTCTGGAATTATATTTAAGAAGTAAGGAGATCAGATACTTTTTAGCATGCATTTCAACATAAGGAAGAATATACATTTATAATCAATTATGACCATATGAATAAGTGAATAAATATATAAATGCATTTTGAATAAATATATAACACATTTATTCAATTTTTTTGCAAAATGCAAAAAAAGCCATATTTGATCAAAACACTTAATAATCCTGCCAACCAGTTTATCATAAGCTTTCATGAGATCCAGAGAAACAACAATGGTCAGATCTTGCTTGTTCAGTATAAAATTTAACTGATAGCAGAAAAAAGCCACTTCTTTTCCATAATAGCATTCCCCCAGAAGGGGAAACTCCTGATATGACCCAAATAAAACTTGGAACGATCAAGAATTTGCAAGAAATTCAGCATTTCTTAGAGCTGCAGAAAAAAAGTGGTAAGTTTGCCATCTGTTTACATTTACTTAACTATTTATTTGACTTTTAATTGTAAATCCTAGAATGGAAAGATGGGAGAGAGAGACATTAACTGGCAGATCTGCCTACATTGGAATATTTTAGGGACCATTCAAAAATTAAAACTGTTAATCACACATTAAAATCCTGCATTTATTTGTAATGTTGAAGAATGATTCCCAATAAAAGATATAATGAATGTCTGCAAACATAAGCTAATTCTGTTTTTTAAACATCCCAGGATTTAAAAAATAAACAAAAAATTAAATAGAAAAAGCAAATTCAGTTCCTAAATTGAATTAAGAAGTCTCTAATCATTGGAATGAAAACAGAACAGTTTTTCAAATTGCTGTATCATAACTTTAAACTGATAGTCACTGCATATCCCACCAATACAATAATTATAACATAAAAAATTCCAGCACACTCAGGACACCATCTACAGTGAGTAACAGATGTAAAAAATATACAAAAAGTATTACATAAGCAAAGCAGACTGAAAACTTGAGTCCTGGGGAGGAAAAGAGAAGTTAGTTTTTTAAAAATTGCTAGTCCATGTGTGATACCATACTCTAAATCAGTGGTTCTCAACCTTCCTAATGCCACAACCCTTTAATACAGTTCCTCATGTTGTGGTGACCCCCAACCCTAAGGGCTCTCCAAGCGCGCACCGACGCCGCCCACTCACCCACCACGCCCGGGGCTCAGCGCGCCTCGCCTGTCCTCGCCTCACTTCCGAAGGTCGGCAGCCTGCCCGGCTCCAGCTGGCCGGGAAGGGGGGGCAGGAAGGCCGCTCCGCCGGCTCCACCCAGCCTGGTTGGAGAAGCGCCCAGGCGGGGAGAGGGAGAGGGAAAGAGAGAGAGAGAGAGAGCCAAAAGGGCGATAGCGCCAGCAGAGCTTAGTTCAGCCTCCTCCGCGGAAAGGGCCACAAAGCAACGCAGCCTCCCTTAGGAGATGCTCGACGGAAACAAATCCGGCGTTGCAACGGCCCCCAGCTCGAAGCCATGCGGAAACGGATAGAGGAGCGGTGTCTCGGTTCCTAAGATCATCGGAAATATGTGTTTTCTGATGGTCTTAGGCGACCCCTGTGAAAGGGTCGTTCGACCCCCAAAGGGGTCGTGACCCACAGGTTGAGAACCGCTGCAATAAATAAATAAATAAATAAATAAACAAACAAACAAACAAATAAATAAATGAATGAATGAATGAATGAATAAATAAATAAATAAATAAATAAATAAATAAATAAATAAATAAATAAATAAATAAATAAATAAATAAATAAATAAATAAATAATGATGTTAAATACAGGATGGTCTGAGAGACTGTGTGTTAGAGTGGCTCTGCATGGTAATCCAATGCTGATATATCCATAAAAAAACCAGGGTGAAAAATATTGCACAACAGCTCTACAGAGTAGTCCAGTTTTGCTACTTCCTTTTTTACATTTTGTTTGTGTTTTAGGGAAATGAAATGTCCTTGAGGGCTCTGTAGTAACAATCAATATATTAAAAGTAGGAAGGATCATTTTTATATTGTATTGACAATATGAGTTAAAGTGTTAAGTAAAGCTGCATAATTTTTTATTTATTTCTGAATGCGGCATTTTATGTATAGCTAAATTATATATAATGCATTTTAAAAAGCAACAAAAATAATTATATATCTGGCATGGGGTGGTTGATGAATGGATGCAAGTTTTTATTGGGGCCTCAGTGTAGTTTATCATTTTAAATGGTTGTTTTCTGTATTGTGTTCTTATTTTGTTCACCATCCAGAGTTCATTTGGGTAGCTCAGTAGTTTTACTGTATAGATTCATTTAACAAATAAATATTTCTAATGAGCAATACAAATATTACACATATTTAAATTCTCAAATTTCTTGTTCTGTTCATACAAACACACAAACACAGCACAAAGAGATGTGAAAACTCTAAAAATATTTTGGCGGGAGTTTGACTTCACAACATCTGCAACATGAAACAGCCACAAAATCTCAGTATTACCATTCAGGTAGAACGTATGGAACTTCCTTAATTTGTCTGTAGCAGGTGAATCTGAGAACCAGACTCTCTTCTTCCGAGGCATCTCTTGCGATTCAAGCGGGGTTTTCTCTATGCTGGTGTCCGGAGCATTACCTACTAAGCAATAGGGCTGCCTCTCAGGACTCCGTCCTTTTGGGATGTTTACATCATTAGAAAATGCAATCTGTGCTTGGGCATCCTCTTTATGTGTCTTTGAGGAAGGTGATTCTTCTGGCCACATTGTTGAGGAATTGAGCTTCTCTTTTGGATTCAGGAGTCCTCCTGTTTTGTAATGAGCTGCAGTTAAGCAGATTTAGCACCAGGTTATGCTAAGGGTACTAAAACAGCAAGTGGATTATAGAAATTCCTTTGACTGGGCACATTCACCCCAAATAAATATTTTCCTCTCACTCTTCTCCATATGTTCTGTGAACAGCTAGGCCATAAATAACTGGGAGGGGGAGAGAGAGAGAGAGAGAGAGAGAGAGAGAGAGAGAGAGAGAGAGAGAGAGAGAGAGATGGCTCACCTTGTTGAGAGTGTTGTTAGTGCAGTGTGCAGTTTCATGTACTACAAAGCTCACATTTCTCTATTAGAGACCTCCCAGTCTAATGGAAGTGATATCATGGAGAAAAACTTCATGGAGAAAATCTATCTATGTGGTTGCTAGGAGTTGAAAGTGACTTGATGGCACATAATCAATCAATCTAATGGAGAAATCACCATGCTGTGGTTTCTTCTTCATCTTTACATGAAGTTTAAAATGAAATAGATCCCTGTGTTTTTTCATTTAGCAATAAAGAACAGGTTCTTTCATTTCATTGGGATCCTTAAAAATATTTGGAGTGTTGATTGCTTAAATCTTGCAAAGTTATGACCAAAGATTTGAGAGGTGAGGCATTCTAATTTCTTGTGCAATCTTAACATGATTTTAGAAAAAGTTCAGAGTATGAATGAATGGATAATTTTCACAATAAAGGATGCAAATAGTGAAATTCCTATAACATCAGGACATTGCTTTTAACATATTTGTTTACTAAAATTGATAGCCCATTAATAAGCAATTAAATGGCCAACATTACTTAAAAATTACAGAGAAGACCATCAAAAAGCTATTTCTAAATGGAAGGAAAGAACATTGTAGATGTAGCTTTATATAAACTGTATAAGCAAGTTTAAAATAATATTTATAGAGGCAAAGCTCCTAACTAAATATATACTGACTGGCAGAATGTTGAAGTTTTGTGGATATCTTGATCAAAACAGCAATTTGATGTGCTAATATGATGTAAGGGTTAGTTCCACTTCTAGGAGCTTTAGATAAGGAACGAAAATCACAGCTAGTATGTTAAATCTCTTACTCAGCTCTATAGTGCAACCATAATTGGAATATGTTAACATTTCAGGTTACTTCATCTCTAAATTGGATCGTGAAGATGTAAAAAATAGCAACTAAAATAAGGAGTTGTGTAGCTGACACTTAGATTTGTCCACAGATAGAACTTAGTCATTCATGATAACTATTTTAACACTATACATTTGTTTTCATGGACTGAAAGTGGAAAATATTCAGATGCTTCTAGAAAAAACTCTATCCCATTAACTCTGCAGACATGTACTTAAAAGTATACACATAAAGTGTTGACATCAAATATAATTTCTCACCAGCGCTAAATGGAAAAGTTTGAACCTTATCACCACCAGGGAAAGGACCATCTGTAGCCCAAGATTTCCTTAATATTGATATGTCTGTGGGTTCTTCACGCTGTTTTCCAGGCATGGTAGAATATGGTATATTTGAGATGTGTGCAGATTTCCTATCTTCATTTCTAGATTGAACAGTAACAGGATCAGTGTGGAACAATTTAATTGGTGTCTGGGTGCTAGGACATGACATGTTGGCCTCTTTGGAAAGGATGTGAGGAGAATAATTATAATCTTTTCTGACAGACTGAGCTGCAAAGAAAAACAAACAATAAAAATAGTTACATTTATACCATGTATGTCATGTACATATCTAGACACTGACATGATTTGGCAGAATACTTTTTGACATCATCAGACCATATGCTCTTTCTAGAAAACATTATCAGTGAACACATCTAGTGTGGTGTCCATTGATGGACCTGGCCTTGGAAAATTGACTGAGATAATAAGTCTACCTGTACTGATTGAAATGCTTCAAAATATCCACCCAAAAAATGTGCAGAAATCATTTAATCTTCACAGTTCAAACATGCTTTCTTGAACATCATTGTCGTATTCAATTCTTTTTGATACTGAATTTGACTTTTGTATCCCAACTGAACAGCATATTAAAGCAAGGACATTACTACAACCATTTATTATTATTGTCATTTTATCTGGGACTTAACATTTTTGTATAGAATGGAAAGAAAATGTCTGTGTGTGTGTGTCAGAGAGAGAGAGAGAGAGAGAGAGAGAGACAGACAGACAGACAAAGACAGGGAGACAGAGAGAGACAGAGAAAGAGACAGAAATGTTGGCCCTAAGCCCTCTGAGCAAACTAACAGGAAGAGCAGATAGGAGTTTGGCAAGAGCAGTCAAGTGGGAGGCCTGGAAAGATTTAAGGAGATAATTGGTCTACTGAAATACATCAGGGAAGAGTTGAAGCTCTCCAGAACAGACAGAAATGTGGAAAAAAAAAATCAAAGAGCAGGAAAAGATATCTTTCACAGAGGTGCTGAAGAAATAAGCTAATCTAAGTAACCTTTAAAAATTCCTCCTCATGAGTAAATGTATTCTCATCTTCAAGAAAAGAAAGGAGGAGGATCTGAGAAACTGTAGGCCTGTCAGGATGAAGTCTATACTCAGCAACATGCTATAGTAGCAACATGCATGTTGAGCAGGTAGATAAGAAGTTACAATTAATGAAAGCCAGCATGGGTTTATTATAGCAAATTATGCTAATGCCATTGATACAGAGGAGTGTACTAGGTCCATAGCAAAGCCTGTGGCAAGAGTACCTTATGATATTCCTTAATAAAATAAAATAATAACAAGTGGGTTGGGATGGACTTCTGTCAGAAACTAAGGGCAAAAGAAAAAGTTACCAGCTTTGTAGATGATACAAAATTGGGAGGGATGGCTAGTACTTTGGAAGAAAGAGAGAACATTCAAATAGAACTAAACTGACTTGAACAGTGTATTGGAATGACTAATACAGGTAGTCCTCGACTTATGACCACAATTGAGCCCAAAATTTATGTTGCTAAGTGAGACATTTGCTAGATGAATTTTCTCCTATTTTATGACCTTTCTTGCCACAGTTGATAAGTGAATCACTGCACTTGTTCTGTTAGTAACATGGTTGTTAACTGAAGCAGGCTTACCCATTGACTTTGCTTGTCTGAAAGTTGCAAAAGAGGATCAAATGACCCTGGGACACTGCAACCATCATAAATATTAACCATCAAACATCTAAATTTTAATCATGTGGCCATGGAGATGCTGCAAAGGTCGTAAGAGTGATAAATGGTTATAAGCCACTTTTTTCAGTGCCGCTGTAACTTTTAACAGTCACTAAATAAACTGTTGTAAATCAAGAACCACCTTATAGAGTTTAACAGAAAGAAACGCAAAACTCTGTGTCTGGTGATATAAAAGAAAGACACAAGTATGGGATTAGATGAACTAATTTGACAGTAGTATGTGAAAACGGAGATCCTGATATTTTTATTGACCAATTTGATTTCTGGACTATATAAGATATCACTTCAGGAACAGACTGTCCCACAAAGTGGTGAGTTCTCCCTCACTGAAGACCTTCAGAGAGAGATTGGATGACCTTCTGCCAGTTATGTTGTACTGTAGTATATCCCATGATGAAAAGCGGGTTGGACAAGATTACTGTAAGGTACATTTCAACTTTATGAGTATGAAAGAAAATATTATTGTTTACAGAAAATGCTTCATGTAGCATGGATAGCATTAAAGCTGTTCTACACCTTTTCAATTTTATCAAAAGTTTTATGTGAAAGCATCACTTGACCTAAAAGCAACTGGGTGGTATCTGTGTTCATGGACCATAAGAACGAAAAGATGTTAAATGAATGTTGATTGAATACCAAAGTAAGAGACCAGTGTTAAACAGGTTTACAGAGTTATTTTGACCATTTTGATGGGGTCTGACTCACAAAATATGAAGAAAGAATAAATGGTTTGAAAGGAAAAGAAAACCAAGAAAGTAGTACAGTACAGTACAGTGCAGTACAGTACAATACAGTAGTTGATAATAGTAGATAGTTCTCAAAAAGAGAAAGATAAAAAGCCTTAAAAAGGCAATATATAAACCAATCTATAGGTATGGTGGAAGGGGGGTATGCAAAGTTAGAAAAGTATAGAAAGATACGGGAATTATAAATGCAATTTCTCTATATAGATCTTCCTTTTCCTTATTTTTTGCCCTTAATTTCTGTGACTTACAATGTTTTAATTTTTTTGCTTTCCATAATGGTGTTTACCCTGAAAATGAATATGATAAGGATGCAGGGATGAAAGTAAAAGCTCATAGAAATTAAAAAACTGTGAAATGCCTGAAGATGTGTGTATGCATCTGCATGTATGCACATTCATAAATGAGCAAATTAGGATAATTTGCTCTCATGTTTAAATCATGTGTAGACTTTCCCAGTTGGCCCAATATAGTTCCTATTATAGATATAGATTTGACCAAAGAGTCTTCTTCCAATAAATGAATTCACAAAGGTCCTATTGAATTTTATGTATTAATTTGGATACACAATGAAACATATTTACAAAATTTATATACCAATGGCTATTAACAAGCTAACTTGCCATGCTTCTTACCTGTTTTTACTAATGAACTAGTATCAGGATGTGAAGGAGAAATCTGAGGTGCTATGAACTGGGACTGATTGTTGTTCTCACACTGCTGACTCAACAATGTGCGTAATTCATAGTTTTCTCTGAGAAGCCTAATTTGATTTTTGAGATGTGCATTTTCTTCCTGAATTCTTTTTATCCACTCTCTTTCCTCTGTCATCCTCCTCTTCCTCACTGTTGAGGAAGGATTAACTTATTAGGGACAGCCTTGACTAGACAGGTCACCTCAGTGCTTCAAGAGGTTCAGAGGAAATTATCAAGCTTAGAATGTTTCTAAACAATTGTGATGTCATATGTTCTTAAGAGAACACCCAATACTCTACTAGAGCATTTTCTTTCAGAGTGGCCTTTCTGCTGTGAAATAAGGTACGTATATAGAATGGTTTATATATAGAATGGAACATTATGTCTAAGAAGTCCTGATCACATGGCATTGTTGAGAATATAGTCTCAAAATAGCACTGAAAATGGCTTCTCCAAAAATCTGAAACACTTTTTACTATAGACTTTCTTCACAGACAACTTTTTAGCAGTGATTTTGTTTTTCTTGCTTTTTCAGTGAAGACTAAGACTATATTCTCCTCTCTGAATAAAATGATCAGTTTAACCATTCCTGCTTTATCTTCCTTGCTATGGAAATAGTGTGTATTTCTATTCGCACCTAATAATCTTTGTGAATTATCACCATTTTTATTAACAAGGTACACTATATTCTTTCAGTTTCTTTGACCTTACAGGAAGAATACTCTTTTTTCTTTTTTTCACCCTTTTTAAAATGTGAAACTTTTCTTTAAACACATTTCTAAAATCAAAACTTTCTAATACATCTTTTTCTTTAGCTTCTTAATGAACAGGCTTTGAACTTCAGTATTAAATATAGATCACTCCCTCCAAACTACCCTTGTAGAATAATATTTTTTCTTTTATAAACATCCTTTTTAAAACTCAAAAATTTTCTTTAAACTATTACATTTTCTTTAACTTTCTCTTAACACAGATACTCTTAAATACATTTTCAATAACATTTTGCATACTTTAAGAGTTATGTAAGCATTATATATATATAAATTATATATATATAAATTATATTTTCAAATTTTGGATTGAGACTTTCTTTCAATTACAAATATCAAACAAATAAAAATCCATCCTAGATCCAGTTAACTCATTAAGTTTAAATCACTCCTTCCAGCTTGTCTTCATGGAGTAAAATCTTTTTCTTCTCTGGAAAGTGTATCAAGTAATTACAAGCCTCTCTTTTTATCAAGGATTTCTTGACCTTGTTAATGTCCCTAAAGAAAAAGTCCCAAACTTGTCTTTTTAGTTGCAGATTTTCTTGAAGCTCTTCTTTCAGTTGTGTTGAGAGATTTATGTTTAAACCATCATAATAAAAGTTAGTGTCAGATTTATATTCCAAAATTGCAGTTAATTCCTCTGCATTTTCAGCAATTTGTAAAGTTGCCTTAGTAATTTGGTAACTTTCTACACGTTTGCATCTCTAAAGTAGTTTGAGAGGGGTTTTTTTATCATCCTTGGAGCACACAGCTGGTCAACAAACTGATGGATTTTATTTAGAGAATATCTCTAATAATTTGCTCCTCCATCTTAATTCTCTCTTTGGTCAAAGAATAGCTTTATTTTATAAGTCACTTAGGAATTGCTAGCAGTTCAGGAATCATAAAAATCAGAAAGTTTTAGCCACCCACAGCAAAGCAGACCAAGCTACAATTTACTGCAATAATAAACTAAAACCACAGCTTTCAGTCTTTATGTTTCTCCATCAGCTTTTCTTTTCTTTCTTTGCTCCATACTTCTTTATTTTGGCTTCCCTTCCTTGTTGTTTAACACTAAAGAAATCCACAAAATGGTGCAGGTCTTCAAAAAAGCATAGCACACTATGACTAAAAAAAGTCTCTCCTAACTTAGTAAAGATTAATAGTCCTTAAAGGTGATTAAGAAATGAAAGGCACAACTTACTGTCCGTTTGAAAGATAAATTTCAAAACAGCGGCTTCTTCAACAACAAACAGATTGCAGCCACTCCCCTCCAGCATTTGGCATGCAGCAGCTTCAAAGTGCAGCTCCTGAAGTTGCTTGCAGACCTCAGCTGTTATCAGAGGCTCTTGAAGGATAATTCTTAGACTCTCCCTGAGCCGGGTGGGTCATAAAAACTGAAGGAATGTCAGTCACTTCAGTTAGTAGTTGAAGAGCTACCGCCCAGGAAAAACCCTTTATGCATCCCTCCCTGAGCATGTATATAGTTGGCCATCTTCGTGGGAAGTTGTTTATTTTCTATTTTCAAGCAGGTTCCCCCCCCTCCCCGATTCTGTAATATTCAGAACCTGAATTGCCTATTGTAAGTTAAAAGACTACTTTTCTGTCTGTGACTTCAAATTCCATTCTGTGCTATGTATGTATGCATGTATGGATGTATGGATGTGTGTTAATCTATTGGAGAACCCAATCTAACTCAGGAAAAATAAGCATTCCCTTTAAAAAATGAAGGGAAAAAAAGGAGTCCAAATGTCATGGTTCCGATAGATGAGACCAGTAGAAATAAGAAGTCTGAGGCAATTGCTTTCCTCAAAGAATACTTTTAATGGCTACATAGTATCAGCATGAACAAAGATGAAACCAAGACTGAAAGTTCCCTCCCCCAAGGTACAATGTAACAAGTTGAACTTTCCACCCCTGTAATATGTCATAAATCACAATCCCCAATTAACTACCTTGGCGGGCTTTCTAATGGAAGCTCCAGCCCGCCAAAACTCATATAACTTGACCTTGGTTCCCACAGGAAAGTTATTGTTATGGCTAAACTAGAAGAATACATCTCCTCTCTCCCATTGCTGTGGCAACCAAAAACGATGTAAAGATGGTTGCAGACAGAATCGTTTGAAAGTTGACAGTCGGATCCCCTAAAGAAGAGAGAAATCCTATAGGTAGAAAAGGAATTAGAGTCATGTATCATCCCTAGGGTTATTTGGATGTTTATCATAAAAATTATGTATTAATCTATCAGTTTTTACATCAGCACTTTTTACCCAGGTGGCCTCTGATAGTGGGTAACCTTTCCATTGCACTAGATACTGTAACTTTTCCTTGTACAACCTAGAATCAAGGATTCATTTTATTTCATAATGAGTCTCTCCCTCCACGACGAGGGGACCAGGTGCCTGCTTTGGAGGGGGTTGCAATGAAGACTCTCTGTATGGCTTCAATAAGCTGCAGTGGAACACAGGATGAACTTTCCCTAAAAGGGGAAGGAGCTTTAGTTTCACGGTGACTGGGTTTATGATTTGCACTATGGGGAAAGGTCCAAGGAATTTTGGTCCCAATTTTTTACTAGGCAATTTGAGTCTTAAATATTTTGTAGAGAGGTAAACTTTTTCACCCACATGGAATAGCCTCTGGGGGGCCCTTCTCTTGTCTGCCTGCTCTTTGTATATTTTTGAGGCTTTTGTTAGAGCCGCTTTGGCATTGTCCCAAACGGTTTTCCAAGAAGTCACCCATTGATCTAAAGTTTGAGAAACAGGAGGGTCTTGTGGAAGTTCAGGCATGAGAATAAATTCCCTACCAGTAGCTATTTTAAAAGGAGTCAGTGAGTCCAGTGCTGCTATGTACTGTGTTATTGTAAGCCACCTCAGCAAAAGGGAGGTCAGCCCATGTTGTTTGTAGGTAGTCAATATAACATCTAATATATTGTTCCATCATAGAGTTAGCTTTTTCAGCAGCTCCATTAGATGGATGAAAAGCCGATGACAGTTCCTGCCTGGACCCAATACGTTTCAGAAGTCTTTCCAGAACTTGGCAGTGAACTCCACCCCCTATCTGAAATAATCTGCTTTGGAGCTCCATGGAGTCGATAGATATGCCTGAGAAACATTCTTGCTAGTTTCTTTGCAGAAGGAAGACCAGTACAGGCAATGAAATGAGCTTGCTTAGAAAAAAGGTCAATCACAGTCCATATTACCATATTTCCCCTACTTTCTGGTAATTCTACAATAAAATCCATGGTAATTTCTTCCCAGGGTTGGGAAGGGTCTGTGACTTACTGCAATAGTCCAGGGGGTTTACCTGGACGTTTTTTCATTGTTGCACAAGTTGCACAGTTTTTCACATAATTCTCAATGTCTTTCTTTAACCCTGACCACCAAAACTGACGTCGAATTAAATGTAAAGTTTTTAGGTAGCCAAAGTGGTCTGCTTGTTTGCTATTGTGGCTGCGTTGGAGGCCCTGAACTCTTGAGGGTTTCTGGTAGATATTTTGACCCCTTCCAAGCCAGCCCGTCCCAATAAGTCAGTATGGTTGTCAGGGCCCACTTCAATACCTCATCCCAAGAAAGTAGAACTTGTGGAAGCAGTTTCTTTCAAAAGGAGCTTTTATTAGTAGACATAATAGACAGGATCTGAGGGTTTCCCGCCAGATCAATAGGTAAAAAGTATCCCCAAGCATAGTTTATCCGGTCGGTTCAAATAGGCCAATCCCAAGGTGTTAAGTTCATTGTGGGAAAAAGGAGATTATTATTATTATTATTATTATTTATTTATTAAATTTATATACCGCCCTATCTCCCTTACGGGACTCAGGGCAGTGAACAGGCGATACTAAAAACCACAATAATAAATAAATAGTTTCTGTCCTAAAATCAAATTAAATCACAGGCCTGTTCTAAAAACACCCCATACAAAACCCCCCACTAAAACATAATCAAACTACGCCAGGCCGGCCGCACGGAATAGATGGGCCATCTCTGGACTGCAGCGATGTTTAGGTGGCTCTTCGCATCTTCCCTTGCAAAAGCGGAGATAACACAGTTGCCAGAGGTACATTCCATTCTCCTCCCCCCTTTCTAGCTGACATCAGGGGAGAGAAGTTCACAGAAGACGAAATGCAGGAACAGCAAAGTGTTACATTGTAGCGATAGATGAAACAAGGCAATAAACCCCAAGTGCTTCCCCCTTCCCTTCCAGGAGTATGGCAGAACCCAGAGAGAGAAGAGAATGCAATATGGGTAGAGAAAGAAAAAAGGAAAGGCCCTTTAGCATATGGGTTCTGGCAATGGTTTTATTTGTCAGGAACCAGGAATCGTTTTTTAACTCCTTCTTTAGCCTCTTCATTAACGGGCTATCAGGTTCAGTTGATTTTGCCTGTGATGCC